GAGGGGAGTCTCTTGCCAAGGACGGAGCAAGAAGCCAGCAAGGGAGGCTTCCTGTGCGGGGCGAGGAGGGGACGAGGCCGGCCAGAACGGCACCCTTGTCGAGCTGTTGCCCTCGGCGACAGTCTAAAATTTAACAATAACGGTCCGGCCCTGCTCCTTCCCATCACCACCACCAGGTTAGCAGGTAGGTGAGCAGGCAGGAATGAGAGGGGCTCACCTCCTGTGTGGATTAAAATCTGAACCAAAGAAGAATTCAGTTATGAATAATTTAGAAGGAGACATACAATTACTAAAAGACTGGTTACATTGCACTACCCGGACATTTTTCTATTGCCAAATTCTTGTTAAGACTGTATAGATTTAGGCTACACTAACAAGCGGAATAGAATAGTAAGGTCAAACTGTGCTGACCAAACTGCTTCAATAAGGTTTGTGGCAGGGGATTGCCACATTAGTTTGTACCATTAGAAATATGTTTAGACAACCTGACAATGAACGTGTAATTAACCATCTTAACAAACTGGTTAAGCCTTAGTTCCCTCTTCAGCAGATCACAATTTCTCCCCAAGTTACTGATGTTCCAGAAATAACTGACACCTGTGTTCATGGGCAGGCAGACTACTGATTTTTTTGGACTCATTTGTAACAAAGTATAATTGCATGTTTTAAAAGCATTTTTTGTTTAAAAACATCTATCAAAATATAGAGTTGGCATCTCCCGACATGACATCAGACAATAAATGAAAAGCAACGCCCTTTCACTATGACAGGGGATTTGGAATGTCTTGAAGATAATCAACTCCTGTAATTCTGCAACTTTGACCAAATCTGTTCTACACATAACTGGCAGGAATTGCCAGGCATCAAGTCTAATTCTTGTGCTTGGTATGGTGCAACATAATCGCCTCATGCAAATGAAGTGTAATATCATTAAATGATGCCTCCAGACTCCTAAGCATTTCTGCTATAATCCTTCTCTTAAATCTCTACACTTCTGATGTGCAAGTGCCCTCAATTTAGCTATCTAAACTGGACTGAAGACTACTCGTGGAAGATACCCTGGATCATGAGAGGATCTTCAAAAATCACTGGACAGAGCTTATTCATTTATTAAGTGAAAAAAACAGAGAGTGAAGCCAAAGGGAGTCTGGTGAAAAAACCCGTAACGCTGCCATAAGCACAGTTTCTCTTTTCCCTCATCCTACAAAGGAAGTTGTCCCATCACATTAAGAAGTAGTAAGAACTAGAAATGGTTTCTTCCATCCCAGCATCAAAAATATTAATGCCCACTGGATCTTAATCCACTTACTGCAATATTAGGGTACATTCCTTCTTCCTGAAATCTCTCAAAAAGATAAAGGCTCTCCAGACCTTACAACCTTTGGTAACAGCTAAACAACTAATTCTTCAAAAGTGGAAAGCAATTAGACCTGGTTAGTGTAGACCAGTGTTTCCCAATCTATGGGTTAAGAACATAAGAGAAGCCAGTGTTGGATCAGGCCAATGGCCCATCCAGTCCAACACTCTGTCACGCAGTGGCCAAAAATACCAGGTGCCATCAGGAGGTCCATCAGTGGGGCCAGGACACTAGAAGCCCTCCCACTGTTGCCCCCCCCCCCGAAGCACCAAGAATACAGAGCATCACTTGCCCCAGAGTTCCGATCTATACCTTGTGGCTAATAGCCACTGATGGATCTCTGCTCCATATGTTTATCTAATTGGGTTGGGACCCAAAGGTGGGTTGCAAAGCTCTGAAAGTGGGTCATATACCAGCCCTCCCTAATGGTCACCCCTGCTTTTTCTATTGCTTTCTTTTGTATTTTGGAAACCAAGATCTGACCCTGGAAACAGTATCATTCATGTCATACATTAGATGGTATTTTTTCTTTACTGCATATATATATTGCTCAGGAGTGAGTTTCTTAGAAACTTGGGGGAAATTAGAGGGAATAATGAAGGAGAGGGTGGCCAGAGACTGGAATGTAACCTCCATGCACAAAGGCTGCATATGTTGGAATGCCATTTAGATGGGGTTCGGGGGGGGGGGGCTGCTGCACCCTTTGTGTGATGTTTGTTGGTTTCTCAAAAACATCTGGTTAGCCAGTAGAACATGGAAAGATAAACTAGATATCATAGATTGCCTAGATCAAGGTCTTAGTTTGCTTAGAGTGCCAAAAAACCATGGGCCAGCCTTGGATGAGTCACCATACCATACTTTCTTACACACCCAGGGAAATGCCAATCGTCACTGTCGGGTCAGGAAGCGATTTTCTTCAGGCTAGTTTGGCCAGGGATCAAGAAATTTTTTTGCCCTCTTCTGGGCATGGAGCTGGGGTCAATGGGTGTGTGTGTGTGGGGGGGGAGGTAGTCGTGAATTTCCTGCATTGTGCAGGGGGTTGGACTAGATGACCCTAGAGATCCCTTCCAACTCTATGATTCTATGAGTCCCTTTGAGTTCCTTTCCCCCGCTGTCTTGCTTAAGAGAACACAAGAACACAAGAGAAGCCAATGTTGGATCAGGCCAGTGGCCCATCCAGTCCAACACTCTGTCACACAGTGGCCAAAAATACCAGGTGCCATCAGGAGGTCCATCAGTGGGGCCAGGACACTAGAAGCCCTCCCACTGTTCCCCCACCCTAAGCACCAAGAATACAGCGCATCACTTGCCCCCTGTAGCTAATAGCCACTGATGGACCTCTGTTCCATATACTTATCTAATTCCCTCTTGAAGCCGTCCATGCTTGAATTTGTTGTGATTCTGTGCTTTGAGTCTTGACATCAGTCCTGTTAAACTTGCACTGCCACAGTGGCACAGGTTCTGCTGGGCATTCTGCACATCGCAACTGGTTGTGCTGGGCTTGAAAAATGCCCCAGTTTGTACTTCAGATATTCTCTGGTTTGACATTAGTCCTCTTTTGCTTACACTGTTACAGTGGCATTGGGTATGCTGGACATCTGCACACTGCAACTGGTTGTGCTGGGCTTGAAAAATGACCCCCAGTCAGTTTGTACTTCAGAGATTCTCTGGTTTGACATTGGTCGTCTTTTGCTTGCTCTGCCACAGTGTCACTGGTTGTCCTGGGCATTCTGTACATTGCAACTCATTCTGCTCGGCTTGAAAAAATGCCCCGCCCTCCACCTTCAGTTTCCACTGCAGAGATTCTCTGGCTTGATTTTCGTTCTGTTTCACTTGGCACATTTACTTGTGGTTCTACTGGGATTACTGAGCTCTGCAATGGTACCGTTGGACTTAATGTTTGTTCTCACTGGGTGAGTTCAGACGCGCCATTTGATCTGGTGTCATGACTGTTCAACAACGGATTTTATATGCACAATCACATAGTCAACATCTGCCTCCCGTCCCCAGCCGTTGGTTTCTGGCTCAAAACCCCCCAGGTCCCATGTGGTGTTTTCTCAGTTCTCCCATTTAAAGCCGCATTTCCTCCCTGTGTGATCGCTCCTCCAGTGTCAAGCCACCTCTGGTGGTTTAAACCCCCTCCCTGCTCGAAAGCTGCTGCAGAAGACCGAGGCTTCCGCTTTTTGCCTACAATTTTTTTTAGCATCAGCGGTGTGCACATAGGCGGAGCTCTGCTTCCGCATTTATAAAACCGACGTTTCAACGGTCACTCATTTTAGCGTTTAGATGAGCTTGGGATCTCACGGGGACCATTTTCAGGTCAAAAGTTTAAAGGGAAGTCTTTTGTTGGAGGGGTTGGATTGATTCACCTTGGTGGTTCTGTGCACGCGCCATGATAGTTTTTCCCCATTTTATGGATGAGTGCCTATGTGCATGCGTAAACTGAGAAAAAATTTTAAAAACCCGCCGACACACACTCCTGCACGTCGGTAGTGTACACGCCAGGGAGTGATGTGACTGCGCAGTGAGGCGGGATAAGGGAGGTAAGTGTGATCGTGATTATACAGATCAAAAATAATCGCATCAGAACCGGACCAGAAACCACTCTCAGCACGCCATCTGAACACACCCACAGATTGCTATTTGCAGACATGGCTTTTTGCCTTGGAAGCAGCTTGCAAGTGTGTGTGTGTCTTCTCCCCCCCCAAGAAATAGGGGGTTTTGTACATCACTATTCCCGGCTCCAGCTGAAGTATAACCAACACGTACAGCACAATGCTTCATGTAATAGAATACATTTGTATCAGTTGATATGACACTTTGTGTCGAGCTTTGGGGCTTTCCTTGTGTTTTAGAGTTTTCTGGCTCCCCTTCATTTGAGTAACTAATTGACTTGTTTGATGAAACCACTATTCTTTTACTATGAGAAGGACCTTTTTCTGGGCTTACAGCCAGAAGGCTATAGCGATTAGCAACTGGAAGATTAAAAACAACAGTATCGTCTGGTACAAGAAAATCCTCCATCCTGGTCTGTTTGTAAGTTGGGAGGTTTTTAGGATCATCTATGTCCTCTGTACGTTCAGAGTCACGCTGTCGCTTTCCCCCACCCATTTCAGTATAATTAGAAGTCCGAGAGTAAAAAGCAAAGAATTAAAACTTTATGTAAGGCCAAATGTTTGTGCCCCTGTAGAGAAAAGATTACTAGTATCAAATTTGTATTTCCTTAGTTTAACAAAGTCTTTCGGAGACTTGTGGATTCTTTAAGCAGCTTGGGAGGAAGGGCACAGAAAACTAAATGGAAGACTTCACCTTCTGATCCTTTGTGCCACAAAAGAGTTAAAATGTATGTAAAGTAGCTGATGTAATGTAACTTAAAAAAAACAGCAAAAGGAAGACTATCAAATTTGTTGAAAAACATGTGGAGCTGTGGACTCTGCCTCCTCCTCCTCCTCCTATGCATGCATCTCCAACTCATTTGCAAATTTTAAGTAGACTCTCTTCTCCTAAAACCTATAGGTCGTGATTCAGAAATTTTTGAGATTGTGAAGAACTTTCCCACCCCAAATAATGTCAGATAAGGCAAGCTTAACCAAGGATTGCCTTTGGGTATCCACACACCCTCCCAAACCACCCTTATTCTTACCCAGGTTTCCTTGCTCGACAGTCAGGACTACTTCATCCATCACCAAGGCCCGAAAGTCCAAGTCCTCTTCACAACACTTGGCTTTGAGTGCCCTCAGGATTTCCTGCTGGGGGTAGTCTTCCCTGATACGGCGATCAGTCAAAAACCACAGCCTGGGCACAATGGAGCTACACATCTTGAACTACTCCCAGTCTTCAGGCTTCCTTTGAACGCACTGCCTAGAAAGTGAAAACAGAAAACTTAGCATGTGAAAAAGGTTGGTGTTCCCCATCTCCTGCTATTTTATGCAGTACTAGCAACACGCACCTACATAGTTTCCTTGCAGAAAAAAATTCTGGCATAGAAAAGTTAACCTACATCGTGAAAGAAAGCTAAAATTATAATTATTCTTAAACCAGAGAAAGATTCATCTTAGCTAGATTCTTACTGTCCAACAGAGACTTCAAAAATTATTCTTCTGTAATAGCAAGGACACAATATGATTATTAGCAAATTTATTCACCCTAATCAAAAAAGGTTTTATTTGTGCAAGGCATGTATAATCTAATATCAAAACAATTCTTGATGTCATATATGAGGCTAATTATATTTGGAAGAAATAGTGGGGATATTTCTTGATCGTGAGAAAGCTCTTGATAGAACAGCGTTATCTGAGATAATGAAAGCTTTCATATATAAGGCTAATAATTCCTGGAAGAAATAGTGTGGATATTTCTTGATCGTGAGAAAGCTTTTGATAAGATAGAACAATGTCATCTCTTTGAGATCATGGAAGTACTTAACCTTAGGAGTAATTTCAAAGATGGCTCTCACATATACAAGCATTCATTTGCTAGAGTAGTTGTTAACGGAGAGATCACAGATAAATTTCTATTTATGGGGGAATGCAACAAGGATACCCACTCTCACCTCTTTGACCAAACAACATAGCCTCTGTCAAGAGTAATTACAAATAATTAAAAAATATGGAGTCTGCTTTGGAAAATGTTTATATATTATGCTTATATGCAGAAAATATCACACGTATATTAAGCATTATCATTGCTATTATCAAAAATGAGGGACGTAGCCTTGACCTGGATAGCTCAGGCAAGCCCAGTCTCATCGGATCTTGGAAACTAAGCAGGGTCGACTCTGGCAAGTACTTGGATGGGAGATCTCCTTGGTATACCAGCAGTCGGGAGGCGAGGGCAGGCTTAATTCAGCCATCTCTGCGAATATCCTCCAGGCTCCCAGTAGGGATCAGTCACCAGAGGTTGCCATGACTTCCAGGTGCACACGCGCGCGCACACACACACACACGAAAAATACAAAAAAAAAAAAGAGGGATGTAATCTTGATATTTGTTAAGATTTTGTTTGTTAACTCGGCCAGTAAGGTGTTCCAGAGATTAATGGATAAGGTGTTGCAGGGACTAGATTTTGCAGGGAACTATCAGGATGACATTGCAGTGACAAGCTCATCTTGGTCACATTTGCACCATCTAAGAGTGGTATAAAGGAGAATTCAAGAGGTAGGATTATAATGATAAAGTATTTGAAATGTCAAATTGCCAATAGCTCTGTTGTATATTTGGGCCATCAGATTGGGAGGGGGAAGGTTACGCCTCACACTCTCAAAGTTGATGCAATCATCAAGTGGCCAATACCGGTTACTAAAAAACACGTGTTGAGTCTTCTGGGAGCATGCGGATTTTACAGAAGATTCATTCCCAACTTTTCACACCATGCAGCACCCCTTACTAATTTATGTAAGAAAAGGGTACCTAGGAGAGCGCCCTGGACAGTCCAGTGTCAGTGAGCCTCTGGCACACTGAAGAGGCTCGCAGAGGCCCCAATTCTCAAACTGCCGGATTATTTGGAAAAGTTTATTGTACGTACCGATGCAAGCTGTTATGGCTTGGGCATAGTTCTATTGCGCAAGATGACTGCCTCCATCCAGTAGTATGCCTGAGTCATAAGCTACTGCTCAGGGAACAGAAGTACAGTGTCATCGAGCAAGAAGCCCTGGTAGTAGTATGGGGATTAAACAAACTCAAGACATACTTAAGCGGTGTACATTTTCAGTTGGAAATGGATCATAGCCCACTGGTCTTCATCCATAGGATGAAAGAAACCAATGCCAGAATCCTGAGATGGGTGTTGTCCCTACAGGATTTCTCATTTGACGTTAGACACATTAAAAGAAAATAAAATGTTCTAGCTGACTCCCCTTTGAGGTGCTACACTGAACTGGAATAAAGAGACAAATGATGTCTCTGAACCCATGTGGGATAGGGCAGGGTATAAATTGAATGAATGAATGAATAAATAAATGTTTAGTGTGCAAGCTGGGGATCTTAAAAGTGTTAAGGCATTGTGGTTGAGGGCCCAAAGAGGGGCCCAGAAATTTTATATAACATGGAACTGTTTTGCATCCATGTTTTCTTTTCTCTTTCTCTTTCTGCGTGGGGGTGTGTATGTGTAAGGAAGAGACCAACTCAGAAGAACTAAGTGAAGGCTGGAGGGGGAGGCCTGACCTTGTAAGCTGTTACATGAACGGCTTCTTTTCATCTCACTAGGAGTTGTATGGCTAAGCCGCCCTGAGCCTGCTCTGCGGGGAGGGCAGGGTATAAATATTAATAAATAAATAAAATAAACTATCTTAATCAACAGCTGGACTGGATATGGACAGAGGGCTCGGCAGCTTGTTACGACGCTCCCAGCAGGATAAAGGTGGGGGGAGAAATAGCCTGAGAGGCACGCATCATTTTAGGGAGGACCTGTCCTTGTCCTCCTTTTGGACTATGACATTATAACTGTGAGTACTTGCTGACTTTAGTCATTTGTTGTATTTTGATAAACTGTAGAATTTTTGCAAACCTTTTTTTGATTTTGTTATCCATCTTGGAGTGATACTGGTTTATTTTGTTTGGAAAATAAATGTTGCCTTGTTTATTGAACTCAAGTGAGTCTATGCACCTGGAGGAGGATCCTAAGCCTTAATCATACACCGGGGTTCAGAAGGAGGCTTCACAGTCTGGGGCTGCTTCTCTGGCATTGCTGGAGGCTGGCTCCTTCCAAACCTCTCAGAGCCATGCTGAGGTCAAGCTGCTCTGGGAGGGAGGCTGCTGCAGACTCAACCACTCCCCTGAAGACACTGGAGGAGAGGGGAGGAAGCTTTCCGGCAAGGAGTTGTGTCCCTTCACTTCCCAAGTGAACTTGTCACACACACATTCCTCCTGCGAAGCCAAAGTCCAAACAATGACTGACGCCACTGACAAGACTTTTTAAAGCTCTCCTCTGCTGACGCTGACCAATCAGAGAGCAGGGGGGTGGACGCAGCCAGTGGCCTGTTAATCAAACTGCTTTACAGTGAGGCATTAACCCCTAATCTCCCAGTTCACTGCTTTTGATGCATTAAGCATCCTGGTTTTGGAGGTCAGTTCATCACAGATGAAAGATCTAATTTGGTTTCAGCAAAGGAATTTACATGTGGAGAACCCCATCTTAAGAGCAGTACTTCTTAAATGGTAAAAGGTAAATTTTTTACTGAGCTCTGGCCATGTACCACTAAGCCCAGTTTCATGCTATTGAATCAGGGCATTATTTATAACCCATGCGTCCTGTTGAATCTATGTTGGATCATGTTAACTCTTCTTGCGATGACTAAACTAATTGTTGCTAGTTGGGAAAAGCCAAGCCCTCCAGTTCCAAATGATTAGTTGAATTTTGTTTGGTAAAATGTATTGCTTATTAAATTAACTTATCTAAGAACATTAAGAAACTTCTTTCACTATTTCAAATAAGTTTATTGAACACTGGGCCATGCTCATAATGTTCTTGAATGATAAGAGTATTCTGTGAGATATTCATATCCTGAGGGATTATAGTATCAATATTATAAATAATTGTTTATCAATGTAAATAGCAGAAATAGTAATATCTTTATTGTTTATAATGAGATCGTGTTAATATGTTATCTACTGAAATTTTTAAACTAATGAACAATCACAACAAATCCAGGTTCAAGGTGATTTTAGGGTATGGAGGGAGAAAGGTCTAGACACTACAGAACAGGGCTTTATGAAACCCAGGCACCAGGACGCCATGGCACCTAGTGTTCTCAAGCTATTGTTCATTGTAAGTGCCTCTTGGTGATTCTCAGATGACCAAAGCTTATTTAGGTGGGGGATAGATTTAGCTTTTTGTTATGATGACAATCAGCATTATTTCCCCACATTTATATGGCAAATTAAGCAGAATGTACATCTTATATTGTAACAATTTAGTGAGTTTGCATCTATTTATTTATTCTCCACTTGTCTCACTGCATTATGAATCAAGGCATTATTTACAGAACATGTGTCTCTCTGAATTGATGCTGGATATGCAGTATGTATATATTACTCAAGAGATCTGCATTCTGTATACATTTATAAATATATAAAAAGGTTAAGAAAGAGATTTGCATTCTGTATACATTTATAAATATATAAAAAGGTTAACATAACTACTGGGATTTTTTTTTTTTTTTTTTTGCTGATGATCTGTACAGAACAAACAAAAATAGGAAGGGGAAATCCTACTCCAACGAGCATTTCGTCATTTCTGTAAACTGCTAAACATGCTCCACATTAGATGCGAAGACGTTATTACATAACATCTCTTCTCAGTCTCTATAATGATAGCAATATAGGTGCTTTCCCAGCTAGGAAAAGCATCAAGACAAACAAACATTTAAAAAATATATCCAGAACAGGAAACCAACCAGAGAAGCAGCTGGGCATTTGGATGACAAAGGAATAAAAGGATTGCTAAAGGAAGATGGGGAGATGGCAGAGAAACTCTATGACTTTTTTGTTTCTGTGTTTGCATACCAAGAAGTCAGACCCAAAAAAGAACACAAACCTAGTAAGTCAATTGGAGGTGGTGCCTGTAAAATTGCTTCAACATGATCTAAATCAGGTTTTAATCAAGCTGAAGGGACAATATGCTCCCAAAAGGAAAATTTTGTCTGCCTAAATTTACATCTTTCCTTGTTAAGGTTCAACCCAGATGAACTAATACATCTCAAAACAGACTGTAAATTCATCTCATGTTCTTCAGGGGTCTTTCCAAATACAATAATATCATCTAAATAACACTGCACTCCCTACTGACCCTTAAGTATCAAAGACATCACCCTTTGAAAAGCAGCAGGGGCTGAAGCCAACCCATATGGAACACGTTTAAACTGA